CCTCCTTCTTTTTTGTTAATCCCTTTCCAATTTCCTTTTTAAAAAAAAAAAAAAAAAAAAAGGTGTTATCTTACAGATGGTGCTCTAAAAAGCTTCCATTTATCCCACAGGAGATCCATCTCATGCACAAAATAAAGCAGGAGTCCTGTGGAAAAAGTGTCTTTTTAAATGCAGATTTAAATCTAACTTCCAATGTTTTAGAAAGACAAATTTAAGGAAGGGAAAAATAAAAAGTAAGATCCTTAAATACTAGAAAAACAAATGCTTTTCTTAGCCTTATTTTTAGAAGCATTTTAGTAGCTCTTCCATGCCAATCCAGCATCTAGCAGAGATAATTTCAGGCCAAAATAATAGTCTACAACAATGGCTGCAAGCAAACCAAAAATGGAATCCTGTATTGGTAATTATCAAGCAACTTTAATAACAGTTACTACCAAGAGAAGTCTACAGGAAACTGATTCTTTTATCTAATGAAACATCTGAAAAAATTGGACTTGTACCTGCATGTTGTATGACCCTTCTTGATTGTAACTTACAGCTACATCCACAACTGTTCAATAAAACAAAATATGTATATGTGAGTAGATTTAATTATAAGACCTAGAGAATAATGACATATAAACAATATCTAGTCTTCTTTGACTTAAAAAAAAAAAAGAGACCTACCAATACTAAGAACAAGTATTTTCAGATTAGCTTAGTACATACCGCAGATTTCATACTGAATTCTAGACAATTTGTTTTTCACAGATGAACACCTGAAGTTATGCTCTGAAATCCATACTAAGTTACCTGGACAGAGAACAGATTTCTGATGGGAAAAAGTGCTGAATACTTTCCCACCAAAGTGAAAGAAAAAAAAAAGTCAATGGCACTCAGCTCTTCTAAAAATCTCAACCTTATTCATTTAAATGATGAACATTAGTAGCGCCATTTGAAATTGGTTTATATCTCAAGATCCAACAGTGTGGATTAATCATGCAATTCTGTGAATTCCCTGCTTAAACTGCATAAAACTCATACTGCTTCTATTTGCTAGTTCTAAACCTGAATTTTCAAGCACCAGTTGACATAACTTTACCCATCAAGTATCTCCTCTCCCTCCACACGCTTTTTTAGTAACTTACTGTTTTCCCCATCCAGCAGAGACAGTTTTCTAGTATAACATATATTTATTCTTCTACCAGTGCTGGACGCAAATGGTGAGAATTTATCTAAAACACAAAATATACAGACACATTACTTTCATTCTACTTTGGCAAAACACAATACTTAGGACTTACACCATAAAATCACTGCCCTACGATTACTACCATCATACTTATATATTTATATTGCACACAAAAGATTGGGGAACCACTGTAATAGATAGTGACAATCCTTCACTCAAGCTTCAACACCGAGTAAGCTGAGGCTGCGTAACCTACAGAAAACATGTCGCTAACAACAGCACTTACTAAGGAGGAGGATATTGACTGTTCTCCACAAACACATCCTTGAACGGGACAAGAAAGCATGGGAAATCGACTGCACCACAGCAGATTCAGATTAACCTTTAGGTGAAAGTTCCAACTGTAAGAGTAGTCAAACACGGCAGCAAATTGTCCGGGAAGACTGAGGGGTTTTCTATTGGCGTTACCGAGAATGCAGCTATCAGATATTGCCTGATTAGTTCATCGCCTCTTGAAGCAAGGGAACAGTGTATGGGAATCTTTCCAATCCCACTCTCCCATGTTTCCAGGATAGTTAAAGTGGAGGAGGAAAGACAATTAACGAGGCTGTTGGCAGCATACATTAGATTTATACAAAGTTTTTGTTAACAGTAATCACGTGCCCCACTGGTACAGCCATTATCAGTGTCAGAACTCAACAATGTTCAGCTCCTGGAGGCCTGTTCATTCCATTAAACCTTACTGCTTCTCCCACTCCTAGCCAAGTCAATTTTACTTCTGAAGACCTTGGGCCAACCGTAGGAATAACAGTGACAGATACTCACTGTTTATGCTTGTAAAGAGCAAAGAGTACACACTGACACCAATTATGAATCCCAAGGTCTTTCAGTTAGTGCCTATCTGAAGTGCTGTGGGAAGCAGTCTGTACATTACAGCGGTGATATATTCAATATCTGCCCCTTAACAAAAGTTACAGTCTGCGCTGTGTGTAAATATCTGACAGACGCCAGAATGCAGAACCCTGAGCAGGCACAAAGTAAGGCAAAAAGGGAGCGTGCAAATTAAATAATAGCACATGAGCTCACAGCACTGTCTCATCCAGTCACAAGTAAAATAAAACAAAACAAAAGAATGATCCTTACCATCTGACTGATCTCTAAAAGCATCTGTTAGCATTTTCTCTTTCAGTATGAGTCCTAGAGCTGCCTGACACATAACTGCATGTGGGGTTGCCTTTTTGGTTGGAAACAGTTCATCATGGTGCTGAGGAATGAAATTAGTGTGCACATTTCCAGCCTCAAACTGTGGGTGTCCTGACAGGCTCAGTAAGAAATCAATATTGGTGCTTAATCCTACAATCTGTAAAGAAAAAGAAGCATATGGCCAAACTGAAATGAAGTTATGAATGAATGTACAGCTTTCTGCTCAACTTATGCACAGATGACAGATGCATCTGTCTTCAAACAGCACCATCAAAACACAAAGTTTATCAATAAAATGTAATTAATTCAACTGGTCTGGTTTTTTTACCAATGAAACCATTTATTTTAAAAAGAAAAAAAAAGCCACAAGAGTAGCTTTGAGAAAGCACTCTGTTTTCAATACACTACCTTTGTCCACTGTGAAGTCAAAGAAAGTTTCCCAGCACTAGTAACGGGAGGTAATTTAGGAAAAAAAAACCCTACTGTTTCAGCAAATCATGCCCTAAGTATTCAAAAGAGCATTCCTAATATAAAAAGTGCCTCTTATTAAAAATGAGTTATAATACTTTCAGCTATTCCATATTTGATCTTTTAATAGAAAAAATGGGAACAGTCCCAAGGCAGTGGTTGAGTCCCCATCCCTGGAGGGCATTAGAAGACACGTGGTACTTAGGGACACGGTTTAGTGGTGGACTGGGCAGTGCTGGGTTAACGGCTGGACCTGATGATCTTCAAGGTCTTTTCCAACCTAAACAATTCTCTGATTCCATATTGTACTGTCAACTTTTATTGACAGAACTACTAAGAAAATTCTGGGAAAAAAACAAGGGAATTCTTTTATCTCTTTCACTTGCAGTAACCTTCGTTTTTAGCTAAAACAATAGCGGGCCAAACATTTTCAGTACCTCAATCATGTTTATGTTGTTGATTTAAAACCGTAAATTAATTCTGCACAAATAATATTCAGTCTCACCCCAAGTCAAACCTTCTGAATTCTGCTTTTGAAAATAGATATAATACCTGTAGTTTTTATAGGGGAAAAAGGGACCACTTCTTAAAGAGAACTGGCAGCATTAAAAATTCTCCATTATTTCTTTACCACATGTATACTCTAAGAATGTAATTGTTTTTATAAATTAGAAATTACAAGCAAACATCATCTGACACAAATTCCACCTGTAAATTCCTTTAAGCTTGAGAAAGCTCACACTACAATTGAAAATGTTGTTTAGCATTACTCTTCTACAAAGTCCCAGCTGCATCATCCAATTGAAGATATTGCAAACTTAAAAATCTATGTGTAAAACTGGACTTCATACTTAACCTCTACTCACTCCACCAATGAGAACAGTTTGCAAATTAGGAAAAAATACAGCCTCTGCAAACAAATAATACATCTGAAATGGCAGTGGCAATGTAGGCTCCCTCTTAGAAACCACTTTTGTTTTACTGCAGTATTTTGTCCGTGTTTTCTTAGCTTAAGACGTTCACAAAGTTAGCTCAAGATCTGAAATCATACTGGGCTCCTTCTACTTACATTATATTGGTGCAAACTGTATCGCAACTTTCTCAGTGCTGCTTGACGATCCTCGGCCCAAACAACTAGCTTTGCAATCATTGGATCATAGTGAACAGAAACCTCATCACCTAAAATATATTAAAAAAAAATGCTGTGACACTAAACCAAGTATTTCTGAAAGTTGGTAATGCATAGTACCGCACACCATATGGCATTAAACTCTGACATAACTGATGGCCACATTTCTCTATGTCCTTAAAGAACATTAATCTTTAATGATGTGACCTGGCATTTCAATTCCAAGGTCAACGTCAGTACAGACTTTCGTAGAGGTAACACTACTCAAATTCAGTTTTCTTTGTTGCAATCAGAATGCCGGATTGATAAATTGTCATGAGAATATAATCAGCATGATCCAATGGACAATAAGTTGGATAGAGGTAAATAAAGAGGTAAGTGAAATACTCAGTGATTGACTAAAAGTACATGGACAATCACAAGGAAGAATAATTCTGTAGAGATTTGTCTTTGTAACAACACCCTGTCAGACAGACTTATTGAGGCCAAAGAGGCAAATGCTTACAAAGAAAAGCTTTTGATGTGAAATATTTTCAATTACACCACTGCCTTCAGTTTTACCTTGTCTGACTCCAGTTTCTATCCTGGTGAAACTATCAGCTGGTGGGGTGGATAAGTGCAACAACGGCCCAGCCCCTGGCATAAAGTTATTATTAGGGTCTTCGGCATATATTCTAGCTTCAAACGCATGGCCCCGGAGTAGAATCTCTTCCTGTGTTAGAGGAATCTTCTCTCCTGCTGCAACCTGAAAACAATAGTTCTTTTCCTTAATGCGTGATCAATATTCTGGAGTGCCAATGTATGAAATATTAAATATCTTTCTTCTAAACATGAACAACTAGAAAGCACATTAAAAAAAGCACAAGGAGAAAAAAGTGGTAGGTCATAAAAGGCTAATTTGGAAGTTATTACTCCCTTTTCTCTGGGGGTCATCAGTGAAAGGATTCTGAATTATTATTGTGTAAACTGACCTCCTAATATTTCACACAGCTAAAGCATAATGGAAAAATTTTTTTCTATTGTTTATGTCAAAAAATAATTAAATGTTTAAGTTAAAGCCTGGTCAACTAAGACAAGATTTTATTAGAGAAAAATTGTTCCAAAAGCAGATGATAAAATGGATTACTGGCAGCCAGCACTACTGGCATATGCTGTTGATTCCTCCGTATGCTGTGGGACCTGTACATTTAAGAGAATGTTTAAGAACCCTTAATGGGGAAGGAAACATTGTTTTATTACTCAAAGGAATTCACATTACAAATACAGGAATACCAACAAACACCAACAACACACCAGTCAGACTGAAAAAAACAGGGCTTTTAGGGACAAAATAATAACAAGAAGCCTGCTGCAGTTAAAAACAGAGGAGACCCTTTACCAAGAAGCTACACAATTTCCATCTACATGGGTGTCCTGGTTTTGGCTGGGGTAGAGTTAATTCTCTTCCCAGTAGCTGGCACAGTGCTGTGGTTTGGGTTTAGGATGGGAATAATGTCGGTAACACCCTGATGTTTCAGTTGTTGCTGAGCAGTGCTTACACCGGTCAAGGGCTTTCCAGCTCCCCATGCCCTGCCCCGTGCACAAGGAGCTGGGAGGGGGCACAGCCGGGGGGGCTGACCCAGACCGGCCCAAGGGCTATTCCATACCCTATGGTGTCATGCCCAGTATAGGAACTGGGGGGAGCTGGCCGGGAGGGGGGGACCGCTGCTCAGAGACGGCCTAGGCATCAGTCAGCAAGTGGTGAGCAATTGCATCGTGCATCACTTGCTTTGTATATTATTATTATTATTATTATTATTACTACCGTTTTACATTATTTTATTTCAATTATTAAACTGTTCTTATCTTAACCCACAAGTTTTCTCACTTTTACTCTTCCAATTTTCTCCCCCATCCCACTGGGGTGGGGGGAGTGAGCAAGCAGCTGTTTGGGGCTTAGTTGCTGGCTGGGGTTAAACCACGACAATGGGAAAATACAAGTTCATATTAAAAAAATTTGTAGCAACATTTCATCTTCTTTTGAAGTGTCTGGGGTTTTCCATACTCTGCCTTCTACCACCAAACTATGGATTTCAGCAGAGACAGCAGAATATAACTCAGTCTTCAAAGAAATAGTACTATACAGATTCACAAAAACAATCTCTCCAAGAACTGACAGGCATATTCTGTCTATTGACTCATTGAGCCACACGCCAAGACCACTGAACCCTTCCACCTTCTCTCTTTCTCTTTCTTCCAGTATTGTTCGATCCCTGCTCCAACTCAGCACTCAATGCTCAACCCAGATCAGGAAGCCAAAAGTTCCTCCTTTTTGCATCAGCATTTGCCATTTTAGTTTTCTTCTGGGTACACTAAACATTCCTGCACCCTGTCTACTTAAGCTCAATGCGTGCTGCTGTCCTCACTTTTGGATTTATCTAACCAGAATTGGTTTTCATTTCCAGTTCCCTGAGGTCCAAAACTTCCTGTTATCATTCGAACATGTGCGTAATCTCTCTGCAAATTGGGTGTGTGAGGAAATAGCCTGTTTCCAGTCCACAAAACTATACATTTATTTTAGAATGTGACTATACTGGTATAACACCAGGCACATGTTTTTGCGAAGAGCTTTCCTCCTACGGCCTGATCCAAGCACGATTTTTGGGCCAGAGATACATTTGAATAGAGTTTAAAAATATTTTCAGCATGGCAAGGGGGAGATCAGGACCCTATCCTCCCACTTTCCACATTCTCTATAACCTCTCTAAATATACTTTATAAAATGTTTTTTCTACACAACTGAAAAAAGTTGGAATTGTCGGAATTCAGAGCATCTACACAGTGCTCTACAACCAAATAGAGTAATACAAGGTGTTCCTTTGGAGCAAAGGAAACTCTACCCAATTAGCTGAAGAGGAGATGATGATCTGAAAACGTCTCTGGTCTCTCATAGGCAATATCAAAGATGCTCACCAGACAAGAGGAACTCTACTTGTAAAATCAATTAACACTTACCCTAAGCTGCCATTCCACCAAGTCTGTTCCAGTGATCATCTCTGTAACTGGGTGCTCTACTTGCAGTCTGGTATTCATCTCCATGAAGTAAAAATTATGTTGGGAGTCCATAATAAATTCCACTGTTCCTGAAGCATTTAATAAAAGGGCATTTCACCAAAACAAGACTTTTTCAGAATGCACACCTGAGACACTTAATTGATTTATGCCAGGACAAGACTATTATTTCTAAACCAGATACTCTGAATTTCATTAAATTCTATACAATTCACACAATTGAGGTCTGAAAACAGAAGGGTTGTTTTCTTGCACGTTTACATATCCAGCGCTGTTTAGTAGCCATTCTCCTCTACAGTAAGAGCTGCATTTTGTTAGAGCCGTAAAAAGTGTACCAAGACTCTTTAAAGTATTATGTATATGTATAGAGCGTGTAATTATTTTTTAAAAGTAAGTATCCAAAGAAAGCAGCGAGAAAAGAAAAGTCACAAATACTTTTAGCAGGTTATTTTTCATCTGGGAAATAGTGTGGACTTTACAGACAGTGAGCTGTGGGGGTTCTTTTTTTTAAAGGCTTTACTGTTTGAATATAAAGTACTACTCTTTGTAGGCTGAAAGAGAAATTATTTTTCCCTTGCTCTGCTCAAACTGACTAACATTCATAATGCTCACTTTCCAACAACAATCCAGCTGACTGAATTATCTGCTCTGAAATTTTTTCTTTCTATTCTTCAGCTGCCACTCGTCTTGGGCTCAGACCAGGTATGCTAGTTTAAATTTGTAATTACATCAGAATTAACTATGTGATTACTTGCTTAAACCTCAAAAAAATTGGGGGATGCGTGGCATACTCTAAAACAATCAGATGCCATTTGCCTTGAGGCTTAAAGTCTTATTAAGTTAAAAGTATACCTCTGGAGCAGCCATACCTCCAGACTTACCTGCTCCCACATAATTCACTGCTTTAGCTGCTTTGACAGCAGCTTCTCCAAGTCGCTTTCGAACTTCAGGATTAATTCCTGGCTGTAAATAGTAATACGAAAGAGTATAAATTATTGTGAATTTTGGTGATACTAAACCTACTATGCATGAATATTTTGTGGTATTTAGCAACTGTACTGAAATCCTTACCAATGTTATACTTGCAATCTACCTAATTTTTCCCTGAGGATCATTTTCTAAAGCAAGTCATTTTTTCAATTAGAGCATTTTCTGCAGCAAAATTAAAACAGATACTGAGAATTACAAATAAATTTCTACCCACTAAATAAATTCGATGGGAGTTAGCAATTACTTTAAAAATATGTCAGTTCATAGAAAAATATTATAAGAACTTTCTGCTCACCCCTGGTGCCTCTTCAATGATCTTCTGATGTCTTCTTTGCACGCTGCAGTCTCTTTCAAACAAATAGACTGCATTGCCATGCTGGTCACCAAATACTTGGACTTCAACATGCCTGTTTCGTAATAATAAATGTTTCAACGTATTTCAATAAGGCCCCCATTCTGTGACTGACTTCACCCAAATAGACTTTGAACTTGTAGACAGTACAACTGTACACTTCAGTAGGACTTCTTATTTTAAACTTCTAGGTTCAATTCTCTGCCCTCAAATAGCCAAAAATGTAGAAATGAGACTGCTATTATGCAGGATTTCAATTGCTGAAGACTTCCTCAATCTCCGAAATGAAATAGGATTCTAAATGCCAGCTACTGCAGTGAACCCTCATAGGCCATAGGATAAACAAGATACATAAAGGCTGCTACCTCTTTATTAGGTATTATAATAAAAGTAAAACCACTTCACTATTATTTGATAATGATCATTTCCCTCATAATTTACCGTGTAGCAATTCACAAGAGGCAGCAGCCCTGGTTCAGGAATAACATTGCTTATTTCAACACGCCATTTCAGAGGACAGATATTAGGTGGCAGAACTTCATTCAATGTATAAAACTAAGAAAAATCTGTCACCATTCTGATAATCCTCTGATGCTGGCAAAAGAAATTCCCCAGGAATTTAATGAGATTTTTCTCATGCCCATCTGACAGCATAAGCAGGCCCTCAGTCTCTTTAGAATAAATGCTTTCTTTATTGTGATGCTTCAAGAAAAACAGATGTTAAGTACAAGAGTATCAAACAGACCTCTGAGAAGTTCTTTATAAAAAATAAATTAGCTCAGTTTCACAGGTCAGGCATGAGCTAAAGACTATCACTTCTGTTTTAAATATCAAAATAGAGAAAGATTAAATAACTAGTTTAGGACACCTGAGGGCAGCAGACACACCATGACAGCTTGACTTAGCTCTGTAGTTTAAGTATTATAAAGTGATTTTTTTTTTCTAGATGTAAATCGAGTTTAGAAAGCTCACTCAAGGAGGAATATCAATGTCATTAAATGTCACTGCCATGTCTCCCAAACAGCAGGATTTTAATCCTTATCATTCAAAACAAAGTCACCACGAGAAATTCAATACACTATGAACAATTTTGACTAAATTAACACCTGCCATAGTGCAAATAAAACATACAAGACCAATTTTCATCCTACTACTAAAACAGTTATGTTTATTTAACAGTAGAATAAACATTAGTGTTCATATTAAAACATCTATTTCTCACCTTGGATTAACTACAAATTTCTCAATCAGCATTGCATCATCATTGAAAGACTTCTTTGCTTCTCTCCTAGCTGATTCTAGTTGGTCCAGAAACTCCTTTTCTGAATGAGCAATTCTCATGCCCTAAAATACAAAAAAAAAAAGCATATCTAAATGTCTAAAAATACGGTACACAATAAAAATCCTTGTTGCACACAAACAGGTACATAACTAAAACAGCAAGACATGAGCTTAACAATAACACTTCTCCCTTCTTTCTTAAACTTCAGCAAAATTGTGTATCAACTTCCAATAAGATAAGCCTACTAAGTCCCACTGGAAGTGCCATTAGAAATGTAAAAAACAGGTATTACCAATCCATTGATGTGGATGAGTACAAAATTCAATTTTATTCTTAAATGTCATAGAAATTTTACAAGATTGGCAGAGAAAAACTGATTTCATAAAAAAAGAAATATAGTCATTTTGGAAATGGCTAGAATTCTCTATCATGCCATTTTTATAGAAATTTATTTCAGAGTAAAATCAGATTTAGACAGGCAATTCACAATACATTAAAAACCATCCAGACACCAAATACTGAAATGGTATTTCTAATCACCTCTTATGCAATATTTAAAACTGTTCACAAAAAAAAGTGACAGAAGCTATCACAAAGTAACAATTTAAAGTCATCTGATTTCACACAAACAAATCCACAGGCCAACTTTTCTGCTTATGTGAATTACTGGAGATCACTGACATAAAGAAAACTCTTCCAATTTATACCAGCTAATTATCTTGTGCCTGACTGCACAATAGATGGAAAAGAGATTTCCTAGTGCTAGATTAGACATTAATAATAAATTTTAACCAAAAGTAGTTTTCCAGTTTCTTTATTTTCAAAGATTTCTTTTACAGACACCAAGACATGACAACTTTACACCATGTGATAAACAAGTTAGCTCCTTTACCTTTCCTCCACCTCCGCGAACAGCTTTAATCATTACTGGATATCCTATTCTCTTGGCATGTTCCTTTAGACACTCATCTGATTGATCTTCTCCATGATAACCTTCAACAACAGGAACGCCAGCAGCAGACATTATAGCTTTGGAAGTGCTTTGACAGAATAGTTTTATGTTTAGAATGATAATAATATTTTTTTTCTTACTTTAAGCTCCAAACCTGTGTATGTTCCCAATGTTAACTCTCCTCATGGTAGTTCCACTGACCTCAACAGGACTACTTACATAAGTGGGTTACACACAATTTGATCGTAGTTAATCAAATGTTTCAAATAGGGATTTTTTTCTGCAAGCCCTCCACATAAAAGTGGTCGTCAGGTTCAGGCTTACTGTTCTTTCTTATCTTTTGACCCAGATAATGGACACCAAAACCTAACATTTTCAAATTACAACACTGTATCCTGCCAAAACTATATTTTAAGTTGTACAAAGGCAAAACTCTTTTCATGATACAGGCTGGATTCACACCGCACATAAAACACTCGAGCATAACAACTATTAACTTCACATATGCATGCAAAACTAGTTAAATTACAGAAGTAATTTACTTTCACATTAGGAAGTGATAAAAAATTAATTCTCTGAAATTAGTATCACACTGTTCATGTGCTGGTAATAACCTTATTTCCATATTCTTGATTTGTACTTCACACCCTGGAAACATTTCTTTGATCTAAGTAACTAAGAATAAGATCCTCTGTGATGAACAAAACTTACCACCCCAATTTACATGAGCCACCATCACCCCTGATGATATGGTGTTTCTTTTCCGCTGTTCTTTTGAACCCTTACCTATATAACACTGCAATGCCCCAGTTCCGGAAAACTAGAATCAGTTAGGTATTTAATTATCAAAATTCTAATAACTGAACAATCTTGATTGCTGCTACGTCTATGGGAATCTCACATCTGTAAACCTGGAGCTTATTCCTTTGAAGAAAGCCATAAAAATAAAAGGCAATGAAAACTGACAGAATAAAACAATTATGGAGCAACGGGTCATTTGTTAACAAAATTAGCTTTGCCGATCTGTAAATTGCATAACCAAGTAACAAATCAGAAACAGATACCTCTTAATACCCATATCTCTGATAGCAGATGAAGGCGGACCTATGAAGATGATTCCCTCTTGCTTGCACAACTCTGCAAACTCTGTGTTTTCTGAGAGGAAACCATAACCTGGATGAATAGCCTAAAACAGAATAATATTACCAGACTATTTGGGTACCAGTTTAGCTCAGAAAACCCTGACACTTCAGTAGAGTGCTAAGGAAACACATGATGGAAACACCATGGGTAAGAATAAAGAACTAGAGCATGGAAGTAACAAAAGATTTAAGGTCATGATCTACTTACCTGTGCCGCTGAGACCTTGGCCACCTGCATTATTTTCTCCATGGCCAAGTAACTCTGCTGTGAGGGTGCTGGACCAATGCAATATGCTTCATCTGCCTGTTACCGAAAAAACACATATAACACAGACTGTTTATTAGCTCATAAAAAGGAAATGTATCTGAATTTCTGAGCTAATTACATTGTTTATCAGACTGCTAGCATGCAACATTTTAAATCACTGCCTCTCTTCATGGAGAGGCTCAACGAGGTGAAACAAATTCTGACTTTCTTCCCAAAATCAGAGTGCGTTCTCTAACCCCCAGTGGCTACTCTGGAACCAGAGCACCAAACTTCAGTGCAACTCCTGTGAAGCTGTCGGGTGCTGAGACAGAGACTAGGCAAACCTTTCATCGATTCAAGGAAAACTTGGAAGTAACTCTACAGAGGTGAAAATCAACTGCATTAGCACACACATCTACTTTCACGTTGACCTTATTAATAAGAACTACTGTTGTGAATGAACGTTAATCACAAACTTAAGGAATATACTTCACCATTGCTACATGCATGGAATTCCTGTCTGCTTCACTATAAACTGCTACAGACTTCACACCCATTTTCTTTGCTGTTCGCATCACTCTGCATGCAATTTCTCCTCGGTTTGCGATAAGAATCTTCTCTATGTTGTGACCCCCTGTTTAAAAGGATGAAGCACAGTAAGCAATTTTTAAAAGAAATATATCCTTAAAAACATTCCTGGAAATAAAGCAATTTTAAAATTCAGATTTCTTTTTCATTATTCATAGTGTTTACGCATTTCTTCTGATAATGAAAAAATGTGCTTCACCCAAAACCATTTCCATGCTAGCCTTGGAATTTTTTTCTTAGAGCCCTCATGCAGAAGTATGTTTAATGTAAGTCTTTGTTTCTTTTTAGAATTCAAGAAATATATTCTAACCCTAAAACAACACTTAAACATAAAAGTTGATGCTTATATTTTCACTGTGTACTTTCTGGACCGACTAGGAAACAATTAACACCTGCCCCTGCCCCCAGTAGAAGTGATCCATATTTCTTTGAAGAGCACTATTCCCCGTTGATACACAGCCACACAGAAATAACAAGGTACCTTCGTACCTTGTTTGTTGGTTTGTTTTTTTTTTTTAAACAGTGACTTACAAGCTTCTATTAAGTCTCATGACAGCAGTTAAAACGTAATAGAAATAAGGCCCGCACAGCCAGAGATCTCACAGGCAGAACTAAATGGCTTAAAATTAACTAATAAAATGAAAATATATCTCTGAATTCTAAAACGTATCTTTTTAAACAACATGACAACAAAGTGAGTTTAAATCATCTTGCTAAATATTTTTAACTTTCCTTCATAAATTGTTTAAATACCGTTATGCCTAAAAAACAACTCTCACGGCCTTTGCAACGTTGGTATCAGGAAAGGACTCAGAGGAAAACATCACAAAACCAAACAGCTTTCATTAAGTTGAGTATACTTAAATATGACAGATAAAGTTATTCAAAACGTTGTTTATACATGAAAGATTATTTCTGTTAGGTCAGCTACAGACTACTGTTTTCAAAAACTATACAAATATTGCACATTTATTTTAAAAACCTACAGTTCTTCAGCAACTAATGGTTTAAAACAAATTGTAAAATGATTCACATTGCAGAAGCAATTAAACCTAGTAGCTAAAGAAGTTAAACGTCATACCTATCGTTGAGGCCCATTTCACAAATCTTTGTACTTGGAGCCATTGCCTGTACAATTACAAACACACAGAAGTGTCACAAAAGTGCACGAAGAAGTGGCAACTGAGCTACTTCTATTTTCAGGTGAGAGGAGGACAGCACTAAAACAGCTCTGAAGCTTTTGACACGACTATTTACACAGAACATGCTCAAGTACAACAAGGAAGGTTGTACAAACTTCACCAGGTCGCTCCTTAAGTGTTTTCATTTAGACACAACAGAAATGATCCCCTTGCTTTTTTAGCAGGATTCGAATTGAAATAGTCAACATTTGAAAAAAAAAAAAAAAATAAAATGCTCTTTTAGTGGACAGAATAGCCAACGTCTGGCATCTATTACAGAGAAGGCAACTCGAAGTATTCGGGAAAGAAGACATAAACCACCACAAAACAAAAACCTTAAGAAGGAAATAGGAGCTGTTTATACAGAGAAAAGGTGCAAGAGAAAAGAATGTGAAAGATAGCAAGAAAGAGGAGCTATGAAGAATTTCAGAAATTAAAAGTTAAACCTCAAATGACCAATACGAAAGAAATCAGACAGCAAAGGCCAAGTGGCTGGAAGAAACTGTAAAAGTAAACTCTCGGAACTGTTTTAATTAACATATAAATCAACTTCGGAATCTTGGATCGAGTCCAGCAATTCTTGAACAGCACCACCAGGCACAACGACAGGAGACGTCCTCGGCACCGCACGCCCAAAGGCTCGGTTTCGGTAACAAGCGGGGAAGTCGGTGCATTTCCTAAACCCGGCACGAACAGCTGCCACGGCCGCCCGC